GGGACAGAGCTAGACACTCGGGCAGGGACTGAGCCCGACACGTGGGCGGGGACAGAGCTGGAGAGGTGTTTTCCCACTGAGATATATCCATCAACCCTATTTATTTATCATTTATTCATTATTTGTTGGTTGGCTTTTTGAGGCCAGGTCTCTCTAAGTCATGCAGGCTGGCCTTGAATTCTTTATGTAGCCCAGGCTGACTTCAAACTCCTAATGACCCTCCTGCCTCCAGCCTCCGGAGTGCTGGGATGCAGGTGTGTGCCTCCACACCCAGAATAAAGCAACTTAAAAATTGATTTTACCTCTAAGAATTAACCTAAAAACTTTAGAAACATATGCAAACTGCATGTATAATAAAATGTCCACATACCACACACTTTATAAATATGTACTGTATTAATGCAGACAACCCTAAACACGCATCGGCTCAGGCCAGCACCAGAGCAATGGGGTGAAGATGGTTTATTGCTTTAGACTGCTGTATCTTCTGTTATTTTATGTCATGAGCATATTATAGATTGTATGTTATATATTTTGTCACGTATTTTACATTACATAACACCCAGTTTCTATAACATAAAAATATCATAGGGCCGGCCTGATAGCTCAGGACTAAAGCGCCTGCTCAGGCAGAGTGCAGCGGCTGAGGTTCGATCCCCGGCCTGCCCTGCCGGCCCCACCCCCAGGGTACAGGGAGATGGCAACTGAGACCTGGCGTGGTGGCGCGTGCCTGTAGTCCCAGCACTCGGGAGGCTGAAAACAGGAGAATCACTATAAGTCTGATCTACATAGTGAGACCTTGTAGGCCCTGTAGGCCCTGTAGGCCCTGTCCTAAATACAGAAAAAGTGTGTGTGTGTGTGTGTGTGTGTGTGTGTGTGTGTGTGACCACTCTACTAGACAGCCAGCACGGATGCAGCAGGGCGCTGAGGCCAGCCATCTGCACAGTAGAAGCCCCAGCGTCCTGCAGGCTGGCAGCCTGTGGTCGCCGCCCACATGGCCCAGCTAAGGGCCTGAGCTCCTTCCCCTCAGGACTCAGGCGGCTGCAAGCAGAGCGGAGCCGGGCAGTGCTGCCTGGACCAGCCAGGAAACAGCTCCACCCCACCAGAGAGCAGTGGCCCACAAGCTCATGTGAGTGAGTGAGTCAGAGACCCGAGCGCCTGGGTGCCCTGACCCTGCACCTGTCCCGGGGCTCGCTGTTGTCGAAAGGCGGGTTCCCTCCGTCCCAACCTCACAGCCCAGGGCGGGGACTGGGAGCCTGCACCTACCCCACCAACGGGCGAGTACGCTCGCCCAGGGCCATGGGATGCTGCTCCCTCCAGGGACGGGGCAGAAGTCCCGCAGAGACCTCTGAGACCGGCCCTGGTGCTGTCTGGAGGAGGTGCGCCTGCGGTCCTGAGGACCTGCGTGCCTCCTCCCTCCTCCGCAGAGGCAAACCCAAGTCTGTCTGGGAGGAGATCGTGCATGGGGTGGCGCCGGGGAGCTGTCCCCGTCCCTCCTGCCAACTCCCCATCCCAACTGCTGATGCCTTCCTCTCTCTCCCCCAGATGTGCTCAGGGTTGCTGCCCAGAACTGAGTTCCAGCCCTGGGACCCCACCCAGGAGCCCATCTTCCCCCCAGAGCTCGTGGTGAGAGGAGCAGACGAGGCGCTGCGGGGGCGTGGGGCGGCTCACTCTGAGCCCTGGGACCTTGACCCTGCCACAGCCAGCCAGGGTGACCCTGTCCATACCCGCCTCACCGCCCAGCCGAGCTTCTGGCTGTCCTTCCTGCTGTGCCAGCTGACCGAGGCTCCTGGGACAGGAGCACCATAGGGGCAGCTAGGTGTTTGCTCATACACTCAAACCCAGGTCAGCACAGACAGACAGACAGACAGACAGACAGACAGACAGACAGACAGACAGACAGGAGCAGAGCAATAGATGAGAAATACAGTGGCAGCTAGTACAGAGTGGTCAAGAAGAAAAGATGAAAGAAAGATGGAGGATGGAATGCAAGCAGATGCCTTTAACTATCTGGGCCAGGGCAGATCCAGCCAGCGGGTAGAGGGGGAAGATGTTTGGGGAGGGTGGCATCCCATCACCTAGATAGGCGGGGAGCTGGCAGGTGCAAAGGTCCTGGGGTCAGAGAGCCAGTGGGAGTGGCTCGGAGGTGGATGCACCCGACTCAGTGTCCCAGCTTTTACACTATGTGTGAGACAGACACTGTCACAGGGCAGCCAAGAAGGGACTGCAGCTGACGTCATGGGGCACAGACATGGAAGGAGGGACCCAGGTGCCCCAGGCGCAGAGCCGAGGCCAGAGCTCAGGGAGGCTGCTCGCTGAGCGGGGTTGGCGGTGCTCTGGGGATCCCTGGGCTCTTCTGGGGTGCAGGATGGGGCAGCACAGCAGGAGCTCGGCTGGGTGGAAGCGAGTGGAATGCCTGCCCTCTCCACGGCCTCCAGGGCACCCCCCTGGGAGCCAGCTGGCCTGGGGGCTCCGCGGTCTCACCCCACTCACAGGCACTCGTCTGTCCTTAGCGGATGGCAGACAGCCTGGAGCGACGCAGCCTGACCTTTCATGGAGACAGAGTCACCTGGGTCTCCCCGGGAACCCTGCAGGAGCTGCTGGCACTGAGGGCACAGCACCCAGAAGCCCCCCTGGTACTGGGCAACACAGCTCTGGGTCAGTGTGATGCTCCGCCGCCACCTGCCCCACCTGGCCTCATCCTGAGTCTCAGGACGACGGGTGTCTGACAGTGGCCATGCCCAGGGCATAGGCTGTGATGCCTCAGTCCCTCAGCATCTTGCCCTCTGCACTCCCGACACTGGGTTGATTGCGGGTCTGTTCACAGAGCCGCGCACACCAGGCCCCAGTCCCACCATGAAACCTCAGACGTTAGCCAGGCACAGTGGCAAGAGCCTGGACTCCCAGGCCTCTGGGAGGCTGAGGCAGGAGGATCGCAAGTTCAAGCCCAGCTTCAGCCATCTGGTGACTTAATGAGACCCTGTCTCTAAAAATAAAGGATGCAAAGGGTTGGGCCTGTAGCTCCAAGCACAAACCCTGTGTTCAATCCCCAGTACCAAAATAAAACACCAGAGCCCTCCAGTCTTATGGAGAGCTTTGGAAGCCCACAGGCCCTTGCCCCCCAGAGAGCCCTGCAGCTGGGCTCTGCACCCTGTGCTCCTCCTTAGTGCTGTAGTGCACACTCCCAAGTGTGCGAGCCACGCATGCCCGCAGCCACTCTCCCTGCTCCTCAACCGCCATGGTCCCTGCCATGGGTTCCGGTGTGGCTGGACCAAGCCTGCCCCACCCACCCGCTGCTCCAAGCAGAGCTCTTCAGGGTTTGTGCGAAGGCCCCAGGACTTTGGAGGTGTGAGAGCTTCCCGCCTGCTCCCACCTTCAGAGATGTGGAGTGAAGCGGGAGAATCAGCGCTGGCCCCGCTTGGCCACGCCGGCTCTGCCCTCACTTCTGCTCACACTGACGCTCGACTTTACACTTCACCTTTCTCTCTCCCAACTGTCTGGAGTGTGCTCAACCCGCAGGCCCTGCCAGCAAGCCCCACGGCCGTGCCCACCCGCTGCTCATCTCTCCCGCCCGGGTCCCAGAGCTGAGTACTGTGATCGAATCCGACGATGGTGAGTGCTGCTGGCCAGGTTGGACCTGCGCTTGCCTGGGCCTCAGGGACTCACTTCCGGCTCCTCCTGTGCCAGTGCATCCCCCGGCAATGTCTCTCAGTCCCACGCTCCTGGGACAGGAGACTTCCACTGATGCCACCCAAGGCCCTGCTCACCCACGGCAGTACTGTGTACAAGAGCTGAGGGTCCCGAGAGAGAAGTGTGCAGCAACACTGTGAAGGCAGGATGGGGGCATGTGCCACCTTTGGGGAGCCTGTACCAACACCCTACACCTCAAGCTGCAGCACTGTGCTAGGGACTTCTGGGCACAGGGCCCCCAAGAGGGAAGAAGCACGGGGTGTTGCCCCTGGGCCGGCCACCTGCGCTCTGCCTCCCCAGTGCAGCCTGCATTCAGCGCGCTCAGGGAAATGAACTCACAAGTGGACCACAGCATGAATGCACTGGGGATGCCCTTCACCAGGGCTCGGGCCCGCTCAGGGCCTGGGACAGCACACCTGCACGGTCAGAAGCAGTGGAAGAACAGGCGCTGGGGACAGCTGGGTTGAGCAGGTCCTGGCGGGAAGGGGTCCACACCTTCCCAGGTACCATTTACACTTCAATTCACGACTCTGGGCCAGTGCTGAACAGGAAGTGCCATGGGCTGTGGCCTGGAGGAGGAGATGCCACTGCCTTCGCCCCCAGTCCAGGGAGCACTGCATACACATGAAGACACAGCACATAGATACTCACACAGGCAGGCATATGTGCGCATGCATATGCATATGCACACTGACCCACTGATAATGCATGTACACTGATACATACGTGCAGACACAGCACAC